GATCACTCAGTCCTGCAGTAACCTGCTGCTGTTGCCAGAGCCCTGCAGCTGGTAAAACCTGGACTGGATCAGACTGCTCTTCACTGGGAGTCTCTGTGCTTTTGCAGTGACCCGGGCCGGGCCAGTGGAGACCGGGTGCAGTTGCACAGGAGAGGCGGGTTTATGGAGGCGGTCCAGCTGTGGGTTTTGACGGCGGTGCTGGGAGTGGTGGGTTCCAGGGTCGCTGCGCTGGTGGTGCTGGAGTTCTCACTGCGGGCCGTTTCTGCAAGACTGATGGCAGTGCCGGTGAGCCACACACACTGAACACTGGTCCTCTGAGACTGACACTGAACACTGGTCCGCTGAGACTGACCGGTGAGACTGACACTGAACGCTGACACTGAACTCTGGCCTGCTGAACACAGGCACTCTGAACACTGACGAGCTAAACAGTGACACCAAACACTGGCACAATGCTTGACGCTCTGCTGTACGCAAAGCAGCTGATTGAATTCAGTCTAATAAAGAGCAGAACTGTAAGACTCATTGCAGTGCCACCTCTCTGCCTGCAGGAGGCCCTCCACAGCAGCCAGCTACTGGTGCAGTGCCAGTTCTCCCTGGGCTGTGCGCTGACCTGCAGCCTCAGCTTCCTCCAGGAGGGGGCGCCGCAGAGCACCCTGAGCCTGGCGCTGAGCGCAGGGCTGGCAGGGCTGCTGTGCTGGCACACGAGGTCGCTGTGGGGGCACGTGGGCACGATGTACAAGCTGCACAGCTCCCAGCGGTACTGCGGGGTGTGCGTCGCGCTTCTGACCTGGTCCCACGCCATCCCGGGCCTGCTGCGCCGCGCCCTCGCCCTGGCCTTCCTGGTGGCGGCCGTTGCCGCCTTGTCCCTGATCAACCGCGACTTCCTGTCCGCGGCCGACGCCCTGAGGTTCTGGACTCCCCTGACGATCTGCTACACCTTGCTGGTCATCTACATGCAAGGTGAGGGGGGGGGCGGCCGGGGGGGGGGTGTGCGCTTCTGGGTCTTTT